TTTTTCGTCCAGGGACACCATGCCTGGACACAATATTCCAACATTGGTCGAACGTATGCGCCAAATACTCGGCCGAAAAGTTCTTCATCAAAATTGACGAAGGATCTTCTAATCGCGCTTAGAATACCCATAGCTTTCTTCGATACCTTGGCGCAGTGAAACGATGGTTTGAGAGTTGACGTCATCCACACACCTAGGTCTCTTAACTCGTTGACTGATTCAAGTTGGTGACCTCCTATAAAGTACTGAGATACAAATCTCAACGGCCTCCTGTTGCTCGAACGTAATCGCATAAGTTGGCATTTGTTACGATTGAGGTTAAGATACCACTCATCACACTATTTTGCAAGCGATTTAAATTGTCTTGTAATTGTACAGAATCTTCCGGCTTCTCTATTGATCGCTACAATTTGGGATCATCGGCAAACATTACTCGCTCGCAGTTCAGACAGTCCAGGCAGTCGTTCACATATATTAGGAACAGAATTGGACCCAGAACGCTTCCCTGCGGAACGCCACTGTGCACGGATTCCCATTCCGATTTAGCGTTTCCGAGACACACACGTTGAGATCTGCCCGTAAGAAGATCGGCTAGCCATTTCAAAAGATTTGCATTCACACCCACTTGACGTAGTTTACATATAAGTCGTCTGTGTGGAACACTGTCAAAAGCCTTTTTGAAGTCGATGTACACGGCGTCGACTGATAAGCCCATGTCAATTGATTTCGTCCAGCTCTCCATGGATACTAGGAGGTTGGTGAGACAAGATCGACCGCTTCGGAATCCATGCTGATGTAGACTGAGCAAGTTGTTTTCTTCGAGGTGCCGCATCAGCTCCTAACCTAACTCCTTTGACTAACAACCTAGACCTGGTATACCACCCTTTTATTATAGCTGCCTACCCGCCTGATATTATATTTGTAACAGAATCTTGCACCCATTCCCTAATTTCTAACTCCTCCATATTATATATGACTTTAATTTCTATCGTCAAGACCACACAACTAGGTGTGAGGGCATTTGTCTCCTTTATCTTACGTCCTACCTGAAGCACTCTCCCTTTTCCTTTGATGTCTCCTCATTCACGGAAAACTTCTGCTTTCAATATGCTATTCTTTCGCCGCAAAGAAAGGCAATTATTGGCTGTATCTACAATCCCCCAAATTCTTTAGCCAGTGATGATTCACAACTCTGTGAAATCTTTAAGTTGATTTCGGAAGCTGCTTTCGACGTTAAAATAATCACTGGGGATTTTAACCTTCCTGAAATAGACTGGGTTTCCAATATCTGGCCACCTAGATTTCAGCACTTTC